ACAATACACCTTCTTTTCCAATGTGCATGGTACATTCTCCAGAATAGACCACATTCTAGGTCATAAGGCAAGCATCAACAAATTCAAAAACATAGAAATTATACAAAGTATCTTCTCAGATCACAATGCCACAAAATTAGAAATTAATAACAAGAGAATAAAGGAGAAAAGATCACACATTTGGAAGCTGAAATTTTATTTTTATGAAAGCTTACAGAGTCTTTGGATTTCCATTCATTCACTGTTGTACTTTTCTCCCTGCCTACCCCTCCCCACAATTTGCTATTCTTTTTGAAAAGTAAAAGAAAAACTCTTTCATTGTTATTCAATCCCTACCCTCCCCCCCATTCCACTATACTACTTTTGTTCTGGATTCCTGTCATAACAATATTATCTAATCATATATCCCTTTTAAACAGTTCTCTCCCTCATCTGTTTCTATGCAGTATACATTGTTTATCCCTTATTTCTTAATTTTGTCACTTTATTTTCTAAAGATATTTTATTTATTCTTTATTGTATTACTAAAGCTATGTTAAAAGAAGGAATGAAGAACTAAATTCAGTCTATGAGTCTAATACCTTAATAGCTATTTGAATTGAGGCCAAAATAGAGTCTTTGTTATTTAGCCAATTATTTTCTTCCATTTTCCATTTTGGATTTTAGGATGGATCTGGCTTAGATGTAACATATTGAAGAGCTCTTCAGGATTACTTCAGGTTTCCTTAGAGATGAATTTTGAGAAGCACTAGTTTGGGGCATTATGGTGCCTGCTTTTGGCTTAACTGGGAGGTGTCTTTAAGGTTGCACCTCATAAATATGTGCTGCCCAGTAAGACATTAGAAATTCCCTCAGGGGAGCCAAGAGCTAAGAAAGAGGGGGACTAAGCCAAGAACAGCTCAGGATGGACTGGCTGCTGCCTTCTTACGGAGCTCCAGGGGAAGTCACTGTCTTTTTTTGAACAGAACACTTTCCTGACAGATTGCACCAAGTGGAGATTGATCCCCTGTTATTTGCCAGGCTAATTAAGACAAGCCCAGAACTATCTGAATCCTGCATGTGGTTCCCTGAGTCCTATGTGATATATCCAACGAATACCAAGACTCCAGTTGCTCCAGCCCAGAATGGAATCTCCCCTCCAGTCAGTAACTCAAGGACAGATGAAAGAGAATTCTTCCTGGCTTCATACAACAGAAGGAAAGAGAGTGGAGAAGGCAACATTTGGATTGCAAAGTCATCAGCTGGCGCCAAAGGTGAGTTGGCATTGCTGTTCCCTTCCCTCATGCCCTCATTCTTTGCTCAAATCACATGTTAGATCTTAATGATATCTTTAGATGAATGACCTCATTCTAATCTGAAGCATCAAGGATAGAGAGCATGTAAGATGACACAGTCATCTGTCTCCCAGTAATGTATGAATGTATGTCTCCTGTCTAGATCTTTCCTCCTGAGCATCAGATCCAACATTGTTGATGTCTCTTCAAGGCATTTCAAACTGAACGTGTTCAGTGTTGACTTCTTTCCCAACCAGACTTACCCTGGCCTGCTCCTCTTTCAGTCTTTTGTTCAGTAAATGATTCTACTGTTCACCCATGACTGAACCTCAGACCCGAGAACTGATCTTTAACTGTTCTTTTCCTGCTGCAAGCCACGATCGCTATGCCTCCAGAACACATTCTATATTAGCAGGCAGTGGGATTTTCGCCATTCTCTGTGCCCACAGTGCTTCCTCTCTGGTGTCCCTTACAGTGCTTCTCCTCTCTGTCCTGTTGTTACATCATGATCATGTTTCTCACCGCTTACCAGCTGGCTTTTCAGTGCAATTAGAACACATTCCAGATTCCTGATAGTGGCCTGCAACCTCTGCTCACATGCCCGAGCTTCCTTCCTTCTGTTCCTGGCTTTGCTCTGCCTGTGGAGCCGCTGGTTGGCCTGCCTCTCTAATATCCTAACCCTGTCTATACTTGAATGCTCTCATGAGTTATTTTCTATTTCCATCAGCACGCATGCGGCCTTGTCAGAGATTACTTTCTAAGCTCAGCTCACCTCAGTGTCCATTGCTTTCTGGCCTTTTATATTGCTGTGTTTTCTCTTCTTGTATTAACCCCTCCTAGAGCTGTATTTCATGTTTGTTTGTCTGTCTCTTCTATTAACCTTTAAGCTCCACATCGACACAAATACTACTGTGTTCTCTGCATCCCACCTTCGCATGAAACCAACACCAAATGCACCAGTCATTACATGTCTACCTGATGTAGGCATCCAGTAAATGTGTGAGTAATAAATGGGATAAGGTTTATAATAATTGATTTAGGTCTAAAAAAATACAGAAAGTTCTTAATGTCACACCTTAGAATCATATAAGGAACTCTGGGAACTGGTGGTAAGAAGCTGTGCTGCAATACCAAAGGAACACAGTTGGAACACAACACCAGCTGCTCCATGGGTGGAAGATGGACAGTTTGCCCCCATGCAGTTTACCTCTGAAAACCCTGATTCAAGAGCTGATGCTAGAGCATCAGGTATGGTTAGTTCTCACTGGAAGGCATGCAACAACAGCGTACCACACGAACAGTCTCTGTGTCTTCATGAGTACTGTATAGCATACTGTTTCAAATGACTTTGAAATGATTTCTTTTCTTGCCTGAGAAACAACCTAGCCAGTGGGACTCATTTCTATCATTGGTTCAGTGGATTCTCCTTCGTGTCTACCAAACAGAAGACAGGATCAACCAGGCTACTGAAAGTAGGTGATTTGGACTCTTGTCCCAATTTAGGCACCTCATCTACTTCTTGTTCCCCTTTTGTGGTCCCTTCTCAAGTGCTGCCTCCTAGCTGGGTTCCATATTAAATGTGATATTTTTAAAAAGAAAATGTTAATGTCATTAGTTGCAGGCGAATTGGCTCCAACTCAGCACCTTTACGTATAACAGATCAAAACTTTAACCAGTCCTGCCTCACCTATAAAATATTTGACATGTTTGAGCCCCTTGCTATAGAAGTTGTCAAGCCATATCATTGAAGCTTTCCCTCATGTTCAGTGACCCTTTGTTTACCAAACATGACAAGCAGCAAGGTTTTGACTTCCCATGTTCAGAGAAGCATGAGGGAAGTTTGCATCCTTGTTTGTACAGAACATTCTGCTTGCATTTCTTCTAAGACCAACCAGTTAGTTCTCTTGCAGCCTGTGGTCAGATCACTGCCAGTGCCTTTGCTCTGGTGCATTGATTCTTCTGTTGTCTTTTTCCATTGTCCAGCTTTCTTATTCATAGGAGGCAATTGCAGAGATCAAGGTGCACTTTAGTCTTCATACTAACATCTTGCTTTTTTAGTATTTTAAAGAGGTCTTTTTAAGCCTATTTTCCCTGACGCAATCCATCATTACATTTCTAGACTGATGCTTCCTCAAGCACAACCCCCTATTCCAGAGCCCTCATACTGAAGACTTGGGTTTGCTGTAAGGATGGCCTTTACATAAGGGGGTCATGACTGCAGTGAAAGCCCTAGACTGGAGGAGGTCAGGGCACAGCAGAGATCCCGCCCGGACAGTCCCTGGATGTTCCAGAGCCCCTCAGTGTCCTCCAATGAGAGAGTGACAGCCAGTGCAGGGAAGGACAAAAGAGAAATAAAATGCAAAGATAGTTAGCATTAAAAATTGAGATCAGTGGACTGGAGTCATTTTGTTTGAGGACTGCAAAGTGGAACTAATAGGATGAATGAATGGGATGACTTGTTAATGGATGCTTAGAATTTACTACATGCTTCCTAGTTTGCTCTGCCTTCAAGATCTATCTGGAATCTCCATGTGGTTGCACTGCCAAGCTGTAGCCAGCTCTGGCTGAGAAGTTGAGCTGCTGCCTCCAGGCTAGTGAGTGGAACTGGAGCCCTGGAGAGCCAAAGCGTGGAGGGGCTGCTTGCAAAGGTGGAGCAGGAGAGGCAGAAAAGCTTCATGCATCACAGAGCGTGTAGAACTGGAGCTGGGAGTTTGGTCTCAGCAACTTGCTGGCTTCCTACCAAATCCCCAACGGGTTGGTGCACAGGACACGCACTGGAGACTGAGCTACAGAAGACCATGTGAGACAACATAGCAGCTGCCCGTTGAGCAGCTGTGGCATCTGTCCGCAGAGCGCTTGGAGGAACCTGCCACAGGAGAACCTGGTGCCCCGGCTGCGGCCACTTACACGCTGGCAGCAGTTCGCACACCTCAAAGGCATCGGACCCGAGAAGGCGACCAGTCTGGTGTGGGACGAGGTGAGCTGTCAGTGGTGGCACCAGTGAGGTTACCAAAGTGCCTGTGATGACAGCAAAAGTGGCTGATGGAGGTGCAGGCAGTGCTGACCCCATGGAGGACCAGTTCACCAAGCAAGTTCAGGCTAAAGAGGAGTGAGTGGCCAAAAACAAGCTGAACCTGCTGCAGAAACTGGCCCAAGCTGCAGCTGCCTGGCGCAGCTGGCATTCAGCTCACACAGGGCATGAGAGCAAAGAGCTGGGCCAGGCCATGCAGGTGGCCAAGGTCTCCACCGCTTCTGTAGGACATTTCCAGGGACAGGTGCCCAAGGAAAAGGCTCCCTGGGGCTCTGGCAAGAAAAGGAAGTTTCAGCCCATTTGTGGGCATTTTGCAGCTGAGAAAAATGAGTCATTTGGAGCTGCTGCAAGTCATGAACAGCAGAAAGCCTCAACTGGATGTGTCAAGGGCTACCAATAGCAGATAAGAGAGGAGGACCAAAAGGAGAAAATAAGCCAGAGGGGCAAGAGGAAAGAGGCCAGCGAAGAGCGGGGGCAAGGGGAAGGGGTCCACTCAGCCAGAGAAGAGAGAGAAAAGGGGCCTGAGAGGCAAGGGGTTTTCCCCTTGCCAGCTGGTGTGGTTGGCAGTGGAAAGGTGGGCAGCGCCAGCGGGGCAAGGAGAGGAATTCATAGTTTCACCCTTGGGTTTTCACTGTTCATCAAGAATGCTGTGCTGCCATGAGGTTCTGTTCACCATCAGTGAGTGCAGAACCAGGAGGCAGCTGCCGTCACTGAGAGGTGGAAGGGACAAGATTGTTCTCCTCTTGAGAGTAAGAGCCGCAGTCTCCAAATTAGAGTTTTTCTCACAAGAAAGAAGAAAGATTTTTTTTGTATTTTTATTTTCTATTGGTTTGCTTACAAGGTTTGTAGACATTGTTTCACACTATCCTTCATTGTGTTTCATACAATCATCCCCATCCATTGTGTTTTTTTTTCTTTTTTCTTTTTTTTTTAATTTTTTTTATCCATTGTGTTTTGTAAAATTAATTACCACTGAACTATGGCCACGATTATCCTGCTTTTAAGAGGAAAGAATTTATTAGACAGTGGAAATGAGTCTGAAACAGCCTTGTTCTTTCTATTTAACTTTGAGTGTGGACTGAGGGAGTTTGTCATCTATCAAAGACTTAGCATTGACTAAGTACATTTTATTATCATTGCTGTTACAAGCTTGTGTATTCATCAGAGCAGGAAAACCATTACAGATGTTTTCTAAACTGGACTTTAACTATTGTATGTAAAGATTATTTAATAAAGCTGCCTCTAGTTATAAAAAAACCCCAACAAACAGGGAGGGAGAAAATTATGCAACAATGAATGAATTTTTTTGTTGTTAAAAAAGCAAACTGGGGAGATAGAGACGAAAATGTGCAGCAATGAATGAATGAAAAATCCAACTTATCTGAAAATTTTGTTAAAAACACAATTTAAAAAATATATTGAAAATCCCCAGACAAACAACAAAAAGGTATGTCTGGAATCTAGCAACGGCTGACACCATCTCTTATTTCAGCCACTTCACTTCTCACCTGAAGCATTACAGACCCTGTCTGCTCATGGCTCTGCCCTGGAGTCTGTATATAACAGGCAGGGATTCTAAAAAGGCACATGTCACATGTGTGCTCAGTGCCCAATGCCCAGCAACAGTTGATCTATGTGTTGAATGAGTGAGCAAAAGAAATAATACTTTAAAAGTTCAGCAATGAATAAGACAGTATGATTTCATGCCTTGATAGATCAACAGTTTAGTCAGGAAGAAGTCTAGTGGTACATCTATTTCTGGATAAGCTAAAAGTGGAGATAGGAACAAAGAACAAAAGAAAATTATGACCTCGAGGTACCTTAAAGATCCCAAAATCCCTTCACAATTTCTCAAGCCTTAACTAGTGAAAAAACAATTAAACACGTGGAAAAGTACTCTGATAGTTATCCAAAACTTGCAAAATAAATGTTAAAGAGTCATTTTACAATTAGGGGTTCCCATATATCTTCAATATTTTTTTAAAGAAATGCACTGAAAGGGACAGCATGCTTAGAAAGATGATAAATCAGCAAAGGAGAGGAAGATCCTCAGTAAAATAGATTGACACAGTGACCGCAGCAAAGGGCTTCAGCATTTTTTACAGTATTTTTTAAATTAATTTTAATACAAGTTTACAGAGACTTAGGGTTTCCAGTCATTCATTGTTGCACTTTTCTCCCTACCCACCCCCTCCCCCCAAATTACTCTTCTCCTTGAAAAGAAAGGAAAATTCTTTCATTGTTACAGTCCCCTCACCTCCCAAAAAATTCTTTCATTGTTATAGTCCCTCCCCTCCCAAGTCCATCCACTATGCAGCCTGCACTCTGGATTTCTGTAATGACAAGAATAACCATTCATATATCCCTTTTAAACAGATCTCTCCCTCATCTGTTTCAATGCATTAAACGTCATTCCTCCCCTTCTTTACTGTGTTCCCTCAACCCTGATGTCAGTCCCATTTTACAGCAGTGGTCCTATTGTAATATTTGTCCTTTTGTGACTAAGATATTTCACTCAGCATAATGTCCTCCAGGGTCATCCATTTTGCATAATATTTCATAAGTTCCTTGTTTTCAGTGCTGCACATTATTTCATTGTGTGAATATACCACAGCTTCTCTATCCATTCGTTTGTTGATGGGCACTTGGGTTGTTTCCAGCTCTTTGCTATTGTGAACAAAGCCATGATAAACATGGGTGTGCATGTATCTGCTTGGGTGGCAGTTATGGTCTCTTTGGGGTATATTTGAATTGCTGGGTCAAATGGTATCTCTGTTTGAAACTTTTTGAGGAAGGGCTTCAGCATTTTTAAGGAAGCTGCTTGCCTCATCTTTCTCTCACAGAGCAGCTGCCCTACCCTGCTCCACCCTCACCATCCCTGATACTCTCAGGCCCATTGATACAATCCATCTTGTTGAGTCTTCCCCTCTTTAATGGACCCTCCTCCTTTCCCAGTCCAAAGGCTTTTTCTGTGGACTGGCCCCCCCTGACAACATGCCCAAAGTATGTGAGAGGAAGTTTCTGGTGAAACATCCTTGCCTCCAAGGAGAACCCTGGTTGCACTTTCCAAGACATATTTCTTTTGGCACATTATGAGGTATTCAGTACTCCTCTCCAACACCACAACTCAAATGCTTCGATTCTTCTTTAGTCCTTATTCACTGTCCGGCCCTCAGATGCAGAGGAAGTAATGAAAATACATGGCTTTCTGCGGGTACACGTCAGTCTTTAAAGTAACATCCTAGAGTGAACATGCCAATAAAAGTTCCCTGAGGATGTTTCTCATGTCGTTTCCTTCCTGGCCTTACAGATAACTTTCCTTTTGGTTGAACTGGACCAGTTTCTGTTTTGCTTTTGCTCTGTTAGGTGAAGGCATCCTCATCTCCTCGGAGGCTACAGAGCTTCTGGATTTCATAGACAACCAGGGCCAAGTGCACGTCATCCAGAAATATCTTGAGCACCCCCTGCTTCTTGAGCCAGGTCATCGCAAGTTTGACATTCGGTAATGTATCAATGCCTGCAGCTCTTGTTTTAAATGAATCTGGAAAAGTGATATGGTTTTTTAAAAAAATATATTTTTTAAAAAGTGATAATGTGATGTTGTTGTGTACTATCAAGTTGGAAGTGATCCAAAGCTGACCCTCCAATGGATTTTCAAAGGCGGTAAATCACACAGGAGATTTCCCATTCTTCTCCCTCAGAGCAGCTGGTGTGTTGAACCATGCACCTTTGAGATTGCAGTGTAACTTCTTACTACTAGGCCACCAGAACTCCCTGTAGTGTATGGTGAGGAATATACCTGAAAACCCAAAAACCAGACTCACTGTCATTAAGCTCATTCTAGTTCATAGTGACTCTAAGGTTTCCAAGGCTGTAAATCCTCTTGGGAGGATACTACCCATCTTTCTCTCATGGAATGGCTTGTGGATTTGAACCATAGACCTATTGGATAGCAGCTCAGTGTAGATTTGAACCATAGACCTATTGGATAGCAGCTCAGTGTATTATACAGTATGCCACCGGGGCTCCTTAATAAAGTTATGGATTATGTTTAATGTTAAGAAAATTGAGTACCACTAGATAAAATTGAGCATCTGCATCTGATTTTTCTGTGTCTATTCAATATTTTTTCTAGAAAACATATATATCTATATATCTCTATCTCTATATTTATATCTATATATATCATGCCCAAAGTATGTTAGAAGAAATCTCTGTGTGTGTGTGTGTGTGTGTGTGTGTATCAGCCCTTTACATATGGGACTCTGTTACTAGCTTCATGAACAGTCAAGTTTGTTAGTCTTGGATACAACAAGTCCCTTATTTTGTCCAAGTTTATCTCAAAATAGGAAACCTTGATATGAAACTCTAGATTCTTCTCATCTTTATGATCTCTTATTCTGAGCTGTTATTCCTACATGTAGGACCTAATAATGCATTCCTTTTAAACAGTTCTTTCCTTATCTGTTCCAGTGCAGTAGTCATTGTCTATCCACTCTTGTCCTGTTCTTCTCCCAAACTCCCATGTCAGAACTGCTTTATTATAGTGATACTATGTAGCATTTGTTCTTATGTAACTAGAATATTTCACTTAGCATAATGATCTCTGAGTCCCCCATATTGTAGTGTTTTATGTAGAATTCCATTATATAAGTATACCATCTCCTTATAATACTCTCATCTTACCAGCCCAAAAGCCAAATAATAAATAAAAATTAATCCAAAACTTAAAATCTATCAGTAAAAGTATACTTCTTCTACATCCAGTATTACCCAATCCCTATACTCTAATAATCCAAGTACCTTGAAAGTCCAATTATATATTCTTTACTATGTCTTTCCACTCTCTCTTCCTTTACTTGCCTTTAAGTAAACTAACCCAGAAACACTGAAAACCAGTTAATATAATTAAGAAAATGATTTTAACTAAGTTCTATCAAACTCAGTCTAATAAAAATTACCCTATACCATATATATAATAATTCCATACATTACACTATACCATATGGTATATAATACCATAGATGGCTCTGGAAACTCTACAAACTCTCTAAATTCTATAAATGTATAGAAATTATGGTAGTTATAGAACAGATTTCTGTATAGAAATTATGGTAGTTTAGAACAGATTTCTGTATAGAAATTATGGTAGTTTAGAACAGATATCTGTATAGAAATTATGGTAGTTATAGAATAGATTTCTGTATAGAAATTATGGTGGTTATAGAACAGAGTTTAAGTCTTTTGTGCAAGACTTACTCTCAGTCATATTCGACTTCATGACACTTAACCACTGCTATATGAAACTAGTACTGTTATATCTGGAGGAACACTCTTCCACTTTGTACATCACTCTTTGTCAATGTGCAGTATGAAGTAACCTGAGTTGCTGAACCTTGTGCCATTGGGGTATCAAATACCTGAATGGTTTCCCAATGTAGACAGGGTTTTGTGGAGCTCCCAGTTTTAAAACAGGTTTGGAAACAGGAGTGGCATCCAGTTTGGGGATTTTTTTAAAATTTTTAAATTTTCTTTTCCTTTTTTTTTGGCATCCACTTTTTAAACCACATGCCTCTGGAAATTCTATCAATTTGGAGAAATTACTATAGTTATAGAAAGGCATTAAGTCTTTTGTTCATAGAGTCACTATGAGTTGTCCCCAACTCAATGGCAATCAACAACAATATATATATTTTTATATATTCTGTATCACTGAAATAATTTATGGTTTCACAGAGAATATAAGTAAACATGAGATATGCTTGTGAAAGGTGTGAGCTGTAAATAGACCATATCATTCAGACATAATTGTTCAGGTATGGGACTTTGCCAAATGATATGTTCACATGTCATCTCCTTGTGCGCCATTTTTATGAATTTAATGACCACATCACCACATTTCGTATCAGGTGTTTGGAATTTGGTTTTCTGAGCAGATGGCTTGGCAGTGACTAGAAATTGCACAGGGCTTGCCCTGTCCGGTGTATTGTTCCTTCATGAAGGACAGTTTTGTCCTTGATGCCTTCATCATGATTGTTGGCTTTGTAGATATATATCAGTCATTTCTGGTGGCCTAATGGGGTAAGGAGTTGTACTGCAAACCGAAGACAGGCAGTTCAAATCCACCAGCTGCTCCACGGTGCGTTGTTGTTGTTGTTACTGTGTACTGTTAAGTCAGATCTGACCCTCCAGCTGTTTTTTCTGAGGAAGTTAATTGAACAGGAGTAGATTGCCCATTTGAACTGCATGCCTTTAAGACTGCAGCACAGCTCTATGGTTTTCAGCCTCTAAAAACACATTGAAAGGGCAGCTAGGAGTCCATTCCAACAACAAGCCATATTAGCTCAAGCTACCTTGGAGAAGGACATCATGCTTGGGAGGGTGGAGGGACAGCGCAGGAGGGGAAGGCCCTCTATGAGGTGGAATGATTCAGTGACTGGGATAATCGGGATGGGAGTGTCAGAGACAGTGCGATTGGCACAGGACAGAGCAGAGTTTAGGGCTGTTGTACATAGG